CAGATATTCTGCTGATGTTCTCATAACTTCATAGCATCAGATCTGCCAAAGACTCTGCCATTGTGAGTGAACTTATAGTTGTACCTTATATCTATGTAACCCACCCTGATAACATTTGGTCAATGTATGTCGGATTTGGCTCTCCAGAAGTATTAGTGGACGACATTGTCAAGGTGAGCGGTCACTCATCGATACGATCGTTCAACGGTTGCACTGTTTCCCAAATTGGTAGAGTTCTGAATTTTCCGACTCGCCTCAAAACCTGGAGGTACTGAGTAATATCTGTAACAAGTTTACGTGTGTACACTACTCAAGAATCTAATCTAGGAACTGAGACTTATCCACTGCGTTAATTCTCCCAGTGACTGTGTAAATGCTGATGATGCGTGACAAATGACCATTATATTTAAAAATATATACTTATTTATATTACAAGCAGGAATTGTTATTAAAAGTACTATTGAAAAATATTTCTAATTCGGTTGTATTCTCTGAGATGCTTGATTTAATTGTGCAGCTTCCATTCTCTTCATAGACAACGTCTTCAGCACAAGCGTTACTGTCAAGTGAACCTGTGTGAATTCTCCATGCATTACATTACATAATTGACATGAATCATTTTTATTCACTTGGAATTTGAAATTTCTTACCATGTGACTATTTAATTTTTACCAGTTGATAAATTTGATTTACAGTAATGTTTGCGTTAATCGCTGACTCATCCGAGTATCTGGCTTTAGAAACTAACTCCTCAGCATTTTTCGGGCTTACTCTGTTTACAGTTTATCTGCCTTCTCTCAACCAAATTGGTGTCCTTAATTGTCTACATGCATTGATGTGAAAGAATACATTTTATGTCTTCCTACAGCTAATTTTTGCTCTCAGATTCTGATTCGAAGGGACTCCCCCCTCTTGACCAATGTGGTGTTTTTGTCGTCGTCGTTTATACAACTTATTTTGTAAATGCTGTTGGATCCTCTTGTTTGCACGATTTGAATGAAGTGATTGTGTTAGCTTATGCGCTGTATCTGTTTCAAGTGATCTAAGTATTTGAACTGTTATTTCAGGGATATGCTTTTTATGTGGTGGGATAAATTTGCTCGTGGTCCATTAGGATGATTTCTTGTTGGTATTTCGATTTAAGTTTAACAAAGACACTACTATAGATCAAATTTACCAACTGGTAACAAATAAATAATCACATGGTGAGAAATTTCAAATTCCAAGTGAATAAAAATGATTCATGTCAATTATGTAAATGTAAAAATGATTGATAGGAGATACAATAATATCCTGCATGGAGAATTCACACAGTTCACTTGACAGTAACGATTGTGCTGAAGACGTTGTCTATTAAGAGAATGGAAGCTTCTTAATTAAATCAACCATCTCAGAAAATACAGCCAAATCCGAATCACTCATCTGATCTACAAACACTCTGTATTATTTCGAAATACACTTTTGAATGAGTAAACATTCAGAAGGAATGGAAACAATTTTATGGATTTATGTTTACTAAAAGAAGACCGAATGAAAAATTGAAATATTATGGAGATTTAATAGGCGTCTAGCAAATAATTTACAGTTGAGTAAATATATTCCATGTGTAATTTAATACATTAAGCTATCGGATATTGATTCTTTAGATAGGTGATATTATATCAACAGACTGAAGACAGAAAACAAGAGCTTTTTCAAAGTTGAAGACACATGAAGGCTGCTATTGTTTTACATGTCTTAAAGGTTAAGGATAATTTCTATGCCCTCATAATATTTCGTATTCTTGGTGTAATTAGACTGGTCAGAGGATGAAAATTGATATTCAGGTCTCACCTGAGCCAGGGTTTCGTTTTCTCACAGTTTACATCATGATTACTGTGTTAAAAATGCAGTAGTGATCATTAGAAGCCTTATATACAACTACTATTCATTAATCTGAACGAACATCAGAGAAATTGTAAAATGAGATCAATTTTGCCCTGTGGTTTCTCTTAAGCTGCATAAAACTCCTTGTATTCAGTACTACAGCCTGTATGCAATTGAAGAGAAACCATGGAATGAAATGCATCCAATGTCTTTCTCTTCTAATATTTGTACTTTCCCTTTTTCTAAACCAGTGATCAGTTTGTCTAACTCATCCGGTTTTGCAAGAGTCACTCTGCCATCCAGTGAAAAGCATACTGCTGGAGTCTCTGACTTTATTGTTACTTGAGGTTTATCCCGAATCTCTCTCCTTTTGTGTGTGAAAGTGTCGATACGTAAGAAATTCAAATCCACAATACCCTGTCTTACAACTCAGCTGATAAACAGTGATGTAACTGAAAGCTATGCTTGAATTAATAAACTAACATAACATCAATTTAGTTGGGCAGTGAATAGAATTCAAACTACTCGATCTACAGACCAAGTGTTTAAAATACATTGTTAATTAATAACACCTTTGAAATGAATAATAAAAGGGATATATATATATATACATTCTGTAATGTAGTATTATTCTTTGACGTTATACTTCACTGGCATAGTGCCACATATATCCATAAAAGGCATGCAACTAACTAACCAGTAGGATTAAAATGTCAAGGTCAACCACCCCACCGTCATACGAAACCAGGCCATGGGATATTTTTATAAGCATTTCGATGAATTTAAAGTCCAGTCACTGGGGTGGTATGAAAGATTCATATTTCTAAATCGTGTGAAAGACTGCAAAGTAAAATGAAATATGCCGCCAACATGTTTAATATTGTATTAGTAAGCATTTTTGTTTGTTATAACAATGCATCTATCTGCCTCTTAGAGGATCAGAAGATTACGACTGCCTAGAACAGATGATTGGTCTTAGTTTAGGAAGCTATGATGATGCCTGTCGATAGGCACACTCAAAGCTTCAACTGTAACTTACAAACAACATAGGTACAGTGTCATCGCGCGACCACGGGGATAGAATTCTGTAATTGATATTTCCGGATTTTTGTTCACCCCTGATATAAACACTATACTAATTCAGTGTCATAAGTTGTTGCATGGCATCATCACCGACTTTATTGGGAATCAGAGATGGACATTAAATCCTGTGAAATCACTGTGGAGATCTAGAACATTCAACACAAGAAACACGATATGAATTTCCATTACTAACATCAATCCAGTGTCTTTAAAATGTTTCAAAAGCGCCTCCGAAAGACTACAGACTTTTATTCACAGATATCTTCCCTCGATAGTGAAGTTCAATTGACCTGTTGGAAAGGATAAGCAGGTGACAAGGAACTGTAGCATAGAAATAGAAATGCTTATTAACCTCTATTAGAGAACATCGTATATACATATATATATCCATTAATTTCTACGAATTTCCTCGTAGCTCATTTGGTAGGGCACCATACTTACAGTCAGTAAGTCAGGATTTCGAATCCTACCTTGACTTTAATTTCCACAGCATCTTCGGTTATTTCCCGTTACATTAATAGCTGTTTGACAGTTACAAACAGTCTCGTCATTGAATGTTATTTTAATGAAGAGTATTTGCTGACCGTAGCATGGGTTGTCATCACCGTTCAATTAGGTCACTTCACCAGTATTTTCTTATTTTCATACAATTTAAAAGTCATTAATTCCCTTATCAAAATCACTAGTTCCTTCTTCCAACACAGATTTCAACACGAACGGGCATCGTTTTGAGAGAACTACTGAGAAGTAACGACTAGTAGACAGGTCTTTTTTCCTAAGTTGGGACTCTTCATTAGTGTACACCCACACACAACCTTATGAGATCGAACACAGAACCAGGTTGTGATGTGTGCATGCTGGCCATTCAATCATGAATTCTTATTTATGACAATTCGGGTTTCCGCATTGACATCGACCAAATCCCTACGATCCAATAACTGGACGTTCATCTTTTGTTACTTCCTTGAAATCATTTTATATTCACATTGTGTTTCATTTTTTGTCTTTTACTTTCGGATGCATATTTTTTATTCGAAATTGATCTTTTTATTTTAATAAAAGAGAAGAGGTTCATGTCAGTCATAAGTGGTATTTTAGCATGACCGAATAGGCTTTATATTGATTGTTCATTTGAATGTTACAAAACGAAGGTGCATCATTCCACTCGTATTGATTGTTGATTTGACCTGCTTTAAAATAAAATCTCTGTTGGTTAGATTAGAGTTTTCGACCTGTTATTTTAAAGATTACTAATCAATATATTTTTCTTATCACATAATTTAATGTTTAAATTTTTAAATAACTTATTATGACTTGATTCATGCATCTGGTGAATGTAAGAGTTAATTCTTAGACAATCAATATTACACCTGAGTATTAATATACAGGTGTCAGACTTGTGGAGATCTTACTGTTTTCGAGCCTATGACTGAATGATTGATGGGCTGATCTCATGACCGAAATGTCCTGGGTTCTATTTGTAGTGAGTTCATGAGTACACACTGGTCAAGAATCACAAACTAGGACAAAACAGGGGTTCAGTGCTTGCTTTTCATCCATGGTTTTCCAAAAAAACATTTAGAAAATATTAACTTCTTTGTAAACTTAAAGATATGTTTATAAAACCATTGAAGGATTCATTAGACAGCCACTTCATCCGATTCCAGGACTCTTCAGAAACATGATCCCGGCTTGTTGACACATTAAGCCTTTGACCGTTGAACTACTTTAGCTTTCAGTCACCATGTTACAGGATATTCAGTTAGCTTTGATTTCAAATCTGTCTATACTTGAACTGATGCATTGATGGGCCTATGATTTATCATTTCGGAATCCTAAGGGATATTTTTTAAACTGGCTTGGCTTTGTCTGAAAACAAACAGATTACATTTATATTAAGCACGGATAAACTTCACTGTTGTATTGAAATTTTTGTTACAGTTTTGTTACTCTGTTTTTTTACTTTAATTTTTCCATGGTCCTCTCACCTCCCATTGAACATCTAACCACTTGTTTACGTGTGTTTGTATGCATTAACTGCTGATGTTCAGCCGCAGTTAACAAGGAAGGCCGTGATATGCTATGGAATAAAACAGCTGCAGCGATCAAATATATTGCAAAGCATTATGTTAATGATTACGATTACTTTTTGAAAGCAGATGATGACTCTTATATTATTGTTGAAAATCTACGTAAAATTTTATACAAACACAATCCTGATGAACCCTTCATTATGGGTAGACGATTTAAGGTTAGCTGGTATTTGTTTTCCTGTTTTATTTTGCCTTAACACTAATGTTATTGTTGTTATTCATTCAATGTGTACCAAATAGAGCACAGGGCATCAGTGGCTCTCTTTCTGCAACTACTTTGAAATAGCGCGACAACTGCTCATAGGCGTTCACCTCCTCTTCCTATGATTCTTTTCACGCCACCCTTAGACTTCCGTGCAACTCGTCGCTTACCTCTCATCCTGGTTCCACTCAGCGTCTGGTGTGAGATTTGACTTTGAAGTCCATTTCCTCAGCGTATGTTCATTTCATTTCCATTTCTTTTCGCATATTTGCTGGGCGCCAGGTTCTTGGAAATATATGTATCTATTTGGTTTTGCGACAGATTTCATCACGAACAGACATCAGTTAGAGTAATATTGACAACTGGGATGCATTAAACAGTTGCTTCGTTCTTGTTTTTGGCTCTTCATTAGTGCCGGCTAATCACCCATCTCCCACTAAGGTAACAAACTTCAGATTATATGGCTAGCTCGTTGATCATCCAGTCATCCAGTGATCCCTGGATTCCAACTTCTGTCAGTTCACTACATGATATCATCTAATGCCATCGGTGAGTATCTGTCATCAAACTCAACTTTGTAGACACTAGATATCATAACCTGCCACTAGGATTACGGGGAGTGCATCAGCTAATCAGTCATCTATGAACGGAGGATTAATTCCCACCTGTTGGGTTGTGAATATTTGACTAATTTCAAGTTAGGTGTCATCACAAAATTTACGTCAGTTATTTTTGTTGAATAATATATATATATATATATATAACAGGAAATTGGTACCACCTATCAAAGTTGGCATATGTTTCTGAGATGGCCTGATATGTAATTTAGTGATGTGATGTGATCCTTTTGAGTTGGAGCCAGTTTGATCGATCTAGTTTGTCTGACCTCAAAAATCAGTCTCAGTTAGATTTGACAGTCTCAATATTGTGTATCGAATCAAGTTTGTTAACTCTGTTTACGATCTCTAAATAAAGACCTTAATATGATTTGGAAAGAAACTCAGAAAACCGCTAGGAGTAGGCGAACTACATTAAGAATTCATACCATCTCTGAGAAAATTCACATAGTCTGTTAAACATAAAATGAAGCGGTGTTGAGTCAGAGGCGCCATCTCTTAAGACTTAAATGTCACTTTGATAACTTGGTTACATCAGAATTGGTACAGAAACACAGTTTGAGTATTTAAACCATCAGCTGTCTGATTTGAAACCTGTAGACGAGGAAAAGGTGTGGTTGAAGTCTAAGACGGTCGATATTTCAGAGCAGTAGAATATTTCTTCTGCTATTCAGGCAAAGTTGTTTACTAAAGCGCACATATCAGAGTTAAAGTACCGACAGAGCAGTGGCAAAATTGTTTTCCTTAGACCAGGTAGGGGTTCTGGTGTCGTGATAATGAATCTGCAGGAGGAAAGTCAAACTATAGAAGTCATCCGGGATGGACCACGCCACTAGCCTTGAGCAACTGGTCAGAATTGAGGATCAATGAAAGCCGTGAATTTGTTGGAAAGATGATTCAGAGATCCTTATATGTTTCTGGTTCTGCTCTATAATTCGGTTTGGTTACACCACCTGCAACTCTATTTGGTTATTGAAGGTTGTGTGTTAAGATGGCTGCTACCACAGAAGGATTACATTTTTCAAATGGCAGTGCTACTAATGATACGATGAGATTTCAGGCAGATATGTCAAAAAACCTATGCAACAACAGCTTTTGAAAACAATGAGCACATATCCTAAGGGTTTTTCTAAGAAAGAACTAACTGACCGCAATACCTGTAATGAACTTAAAACAAGAAGTTGACGCATGCCGTTCATGTATGGCCTATGCAAAGTCCAGGATATCAGACATACCAATGAAATCAGTGGTGTCAGTGGTGAAATCGCCATGCTATAAACTGGGTAGTTGGCTGATACAAATGTCGGAACCAATCCGAAGAAAGTTGGCAGTTCATAGTGTCAAAGATTCATTTGATTTTTCATACGAATACTTGGTTAGTTGAATATTTCAGATAAACTCTTGATATCATACAACGTTTCTTCATTATTTACAAATATGCCAAATGAGCAAACAGTGAGAATCATGTACCAGCAGTATGAACTACTCCCACTTCCTGAAAATGAGTTCAGACAATTATTAGTTATATGTACAAAGAATTTTCCGTCTCGATTGATTAACGAGACCAGCAGATTTGTGGGGTGTCTATGGATTCGTCTTTGGACCCTGTTCTTGCAGACATGCTCATGGCCTACCTTGGACAGATGCGACTGAAATCCGAAATAGAGAAGACAACATATAACTGCAGATATCTTGACGATGCCGTTGCTGTTCGCTGTGATATACAGAATGCGTCAACCATGCTTGAAAAACTCATCCTCATGTTAAGTTTATAGTGGATTGTCAAAGCAACAACCAGCTGAACTTTCTAGACCTTGGCATAAAACAAAGAAATAGTGGGACCATCGATAAGATAATCCATAGAAAAGAAGCGATGACGGGTCAATACTTGAGTAATCATAGTTTTAGCTCAGTCGATTACAAACGAGGTTCTGCCAGAATACTCTCTAGTAGAGTGAGGGCGTTTTGTCCAGAAAACAAGATTAGTGAAGATCTCATGATTATTGAAAAGGTTCTGTTGGAGAATGGATATCCCAAGAAGTTCATAATGAAATATGGCAGAGAAGAAATGTCTAGATTGAAGGCCGTAACTGTTGAGAAGAAATCAGTTTTATTTGCCTAGTGTACGAAGAGGAACAAGCGTCAACAAGAACAGAAAAAAAGAATCCAAGATTCTTTGAAAGGGATATTTTACTGCCACTAGACTGATTCCTCTTCATAATATAAAATGCTCGCTAATACAGTTTAAAGTAGATGGGTATCTTGCTCATGTCAACTCTAACTGCATTTACGAATTCACATGCACTTACGGTATCAAATACATAGGAAGGACTGAGAGGAGAAAATTAACTACAATCTTATTACGAAAATTAAGATTGTTTGCAACTGAAATCGCTAAGCAGCTGACTGAGACAGAGTATTCAGTCAAAATCAATGAAGCTTTAAAAATAATGAATATACAGAGAAAACCGCATCTACCTTGGTTTGTAGAAGCTATTGCCATCAAACAATTTCAGCCTAAGCTATGTATGCAGAAAATTAGTGTGAATTATCTCCTCTTGCCGTGGTAACTAGACGTCCGTACTGTGTTTCTGTGTTTTTGTTGCGTTACAATTTTTTTTTATTGTGACTTAGTAAACTGAACTGATTACTAATCTTGCAGTTCACTTAATTGTTTGTTAAGATAATTAAAAAAAAACACAACCTGAAATGTTTATTTTATGATTGTTTAGTGTTGTTCAATCAAATTAACTGATCATCTTGGCTATAAACATTCTTAAGAACATCTCATAACTTCTTGTATGATTATAACTGTTACTGTTCACCACGCATACACATATCATAGCTTCCACTACCCAATACTGAAATATTTTTTTCATTACTGGTGTTTATCTTCCTTTTTACTTGGTATTTTTATGTGCATTTTTTTGTTATTTCTGTGTTTCTTTTTGGTTTTTTGTTGTTTTTTTATATCTATTTTTTTGTAATACTCCTTTTAAACGTACGATGAAATTAGATGCAGTATTGTAGATGCGTGCTGAAAATTCCACACTGTACCGCAAGCACTGTTTATGGAAAAAAGCGAAATTGTTCTTGTTATTGTTATTATAAATTCACTTCTACTTACCATTTCTTTTCACCACCACCGTCTCCCCTCGAGAGTTCAATTTCAGCCTAAGCTATGTATGCAGAAAATTAGTGTGAATTATCTCCTCTTGCCGTGGTAACTAGACGTCCGTACTGTGTTTCTGTGTTTTTGTTGCGTTACAATTTTTTTTATTGTGACTTAGTAAACTGAACTGATTACTAAACTTTTAGTTCACTTAATTGTTTGTTAACGTAATAAATTCACTTCTACCTACCATTTCTTTTCACCACCACCGTCTCCCCTCGAGAGTTCGATCAGATTATGTATAAACAGAGTCTGATCGTTAGATTATTCAACATCTTTTATTTGCGTTTGTTGTTGCACAACTGTGTTTTTTGAGTTGAAATAATTTTGAAGCATGTTTTATATTTATGTACTGATATGTCATTTTTAGGCTGATGGTGGGTGGCTGTTGTAAAGCCATGAAATAAAAAGCATGAACTGTTTTTATCCTGCGAATATGTTCGTCTGGTCTTTGTTCATTATCCATGTCCCTAAATAAACTGTAATTATTAGCGATGACAATAGAAGATATTTTCCTAAAAGTTGACTTAGGTGCGTTGTCTAATGAACTTAGCCAGCCAAATGAGTGTCAGTCTGCATTCTAGTAACATATTTTGCATGGGTGACATGTAATCACCAAATAAAAATAGAATTGACGGTTCACTTTTTCTGGATAGAAGAAACAACTGAATTTTCGAATATATGTCACTTTGGAAATCCTGTGTGGTTTGTTGGAGCAGAGACAATGAAACAGCATATCTAGAGAAACTTATACACAACCTTTACTAAGAAGGAAATAAGTGTCAACAATTTATCATTTGATGGTGGGACTACCTGTAAGAGCCCTTGATTGGCAAACTATTATTGCCTTAGTGTGTGATGATGATACAAGTGAAGTGAAACTCGCATTGTTCCAACAGAAAACTATCGACTAGCTAGGCCTCCACTCCTCCATTTCAGCCAAGATACCCACATGCTTGTAACGCCAGAAGATAAGAGCTTTTTTAAGGAAAAACACACCTGATTTATACATTTCCAGCCACATTAAAAATCGGTTAGGTCAGCGAAAAACAAACCATTCTGATTGGTTGGCGACTGGCCAGAGGTTAAAAAGGGATTGAAAAGTCGTCCAGTGAGAATACTTCCTATCCACGACATAAACTAAATCTAGATTTGAGGAATAAACATTTCTACCCCTACGGCCAATAACTTGAAACGTTGATTTCAGTTTTGGCCGCTTCCTATTGATTTGCATCTGTATACCACGTGTAAGTCTTGTCCGTAGCAAACCCCACATGCTAACCAAGTCACCTCACTGCAATCACCAGGGGTGATGGCTATCTTATCTATCACAAATGTTATGTAACTACTAAACGGTTATTTCACTGCCCTGCCCTAATAACCATATTGAAAAGTTAAAGTGTTGTACCGCATGGGTTTTGGCACTTCAAACGGATCTATATTGTCTGTAAAAATAACTGAGACTGTGCACTTTCATTTGAGAGGTGTTTAAACAAATTACTTAGTACTTTATACACTTAATCTGTGTGTGAATACAGAATATCAGTCGGTCACATTACTTAACGCGAAAATAAAACGGTTGACAGATTAGTAAGGATAGTGGCCTTAAGGCCTATATTAATCTTCTCGGTTCTCCGCAAAATTGAGAATCAATTTTGCTTCGAACGACTCATAAAAAGTGCTGGTACAACGTGCTCCAACGGAGAAATCTACCGGTCTACAATTCTATGGGAGTAACGCACTTCCTGATGTGCACGATTCGACCATGATTTTTCGAAATTTAATATGATTCCCTTTCGTTGTGTTTTTTATTCATGGGAAAAATAGACACGACCAACTGATGCATAAGCCTTTGTGTAAAATACGGAATCCTAAAATGACCTGATCCAGCAACCACAAGTATGAAAGTGAAAGTAAATGTAGTCGACCAATCTCTTCTTATATGAGAAGTCGGTGAACTTCTTCATGGATTTACTCCCCATTCTTTGACTCTCAAATGACTGAAGTTTATAGTGTTGGTTGGCCTATTTTCCCAAAGTTATATTAATAATGTTCTATTGTCCAGACTGATCTTTCAAATTATTGCCGTGATATATTGTAATTTAAACTGCATAACACACTGGAAGTCCAAGTTCTACTCCGAGTAGATGTACTTCCCCACCTTGGAAAAGAGGGAAGGTTGGATGTGAAGCTAGAAACCTTACACCATAGAAACAATATCGCTTCTGAAACTTCAAAATGTAAAGCCCTTTGTTCCACTTGGAATATATGGGATGTGAAACATCCTGTTCACTACTTTGTTAGTCAACAGAAACGTCTGTAATGAAAATACAGAAGTGTAATTACGCAGAAACTGTTTCGATTTCTCATCATCAGATTGTATATTATTGACTGTATCATTTGCTTATTTATAATTTCCTCTAAAACAATTCATGTCAACTTGGATGAGCTAGTTCAGTTTACTCAAACATGTTGTTCCCTATCCTTTTATGTCTTGTTGTTTTCCTTCACGTTCCCAGTGGAACATAGGGCTCCAAGCTAGAGGCTTGAAGTTTCTGTAGCAGTGTTAATTTTTACAGGATGGGGTTGCTAACCCCATGCACAACCTTTCCGCTTTACCAGTCTCACTACTGGCTTATTGAGTTGAAGGAGTGCGTCGGCCGTGGGTCGAACCCCGGACCATGTGCATGGTCGGTGAGCGTCCTAACCGTTGTGCCACCAACGCACATGTAGTTTCTCATCCTTTTCTGTCTTAGTGAGTCTAAATAACTAGTCTGGGTTAGTTCATGACTTATGTCTCATTACGATAGTGTTTTTTCTAGCAAGTAGATAGTGGCTAGCAGCAGACTCGGCAAGGTATGTTTTGTCCTGCTCACGACTTTTAAGCTGGACTCACCTGCATCTCAATTACCAATTACCTTCCTAATGAGATTTAAATCTAGCTCCTATCATTTCACATACTGAATTGTTGTCTACATCTAACTGATGTTTGGTAAACTGAACTGAATTTTCACCGTTGAACTTTACACAAGAGTCCAGTAGTTCAAGTTACGACACTTTAATTATAAAAGCTCACATAAGAATAAAGCAACAAAGAAATGCAAAACCATTTAATAAACGGAAATGCACGTGAGAAAGAAAGAAATATATTCAGAGTAATGAGTGTTTAGTGAATCTTGCAAATCGCATTGAGTGAATGCATCTACTCCAATGAGAACTCCAACACTCTTCAACCACTGGTACTTGTCATCTCGAGAAGCGCATCGTGGAAAGTCTGCAAATCCTTATGTGGCTTAAACCAACAGTCAAAGACTTCATGAAATGACGCTATGTTTGTGTTTGATCATCTGTTACAGTTTTCCAACACAACTTTTAATCAGCAAACGCTCCTCAGCACGCTTAACACGTGTCACAGCATTCTCAGTCGACACAGCTTTACAACCCTATTGATTGAATCCCGTAGTTAGCTAACGGTCGACGCCTAACCTCAATATTAGAGCACCTAACACAAGAGATAGAAGACAAACATCTATATTTGCTAAAGATATAAAGAGAATATAATTTTTTTTAATCTTCAAGATAATAACAATTAAGAAAAACTTAAATTTTGATTTCACCATGAGCCGATGTTAGTCAGGAAATTATTGAAAGCCAGGCAAACTTCAACTATAGTGGACAACACAAAGTGCCTTCTAGATTATCCTGAACAACCGAACATAGTAAGCCGATGTTAGAACTGGTAAATTTGTTAGTTAACTGTATTCCCATACAGACACTTTTATTCCCCATTAAGTATTGTAATGAACTCAGCTGATCATAACACAGAGTTCAGCAGCTACACAGAACTAGGAAACAAGATGAACAGCAAACTAAAAAAGTAATAAATGATTGGTATTCATGATGAATGATGTGATTAGTCACTGCTGGGTTATTTTGAAGGTTTTTCGGTTGAGTTATTGTTAGATTTTGCCTGACACAAATAGGATAAGGTCAAAGCCACATGAGTTATAATCTGGTGAATGAAACCTAAATCAACCCTACAACAGGAGGGGAGTGAATTCAGCTTGGTTTATTCAAAGGTGATATCTCTGACTGCATTGCTGAACAGTAGTACTTCTAAAAAGTCTTTTTTATAAGCCGTTAAAGGTAAAAAAACCTCGTCACCTTATAGTCGACCCTAGGCGTTTCACATGTCATTTGATAGACTGTCTGACTACTACTCTGGAATCTGTTTATTATGGATTCTTTTACATACATATAGATTTTCCATTAACCACATTGTGATTATATCAGTTTTCTAGTCAATTCTATTTAAACTGTATACCCATATTGTACTTACAGTTATTTTTCATGTATATTTTCACTAGCCATATGTTAAACAAGGTTATATGTCTGGTGGCGGGGGTTATGTCCTGTCACGTGCTGGTATTATCAATATAGCTAATGGTTTACAGAATACCACAGATTGTATAAATGGTAAATATTCATTTGCTGAAGATGTCAAACTTGGTAAGTGATCATTTTTATCTACACAAGACTTTTCTGACTGAATTGATTCCAGTGGAATCGGTGGAGGTTTTTACGAAATTGGTTAGGATGAAATTATGGCCTGGCTGGCTGCATTGCAGTAGTGATTAATGTTTCGTTGATACACGTGCCCAGTCGGAACCCATCAAACTCGCGTTTCTGACTATCTAACTTATCAGATACCTAAGTGACTAAACACAACTCTCAACAACTTCTGGATGCACAAAAAGTGAATAGACACAAATGGATTATGGATGATTACAAACTTGTGTGTGAATTTAAAAAAACAGAAAGCGTAATCACGAGAAGTAATTCTATTTGGAATATTATCAAAATCAAAAAATTATTATGTATGTCCAAACGAAGTTCACTTTTAACAGTGAAAAAATTTGGTCATTGGGTATATGATATTCATTATGATAAAGGTTTTTTTGTATTTACCAATGAATGAAAACAAAACGATATTGTTTTTACTGACGTTTCGCTATTTAATGCTAATATGCTGAGATTTTGTAAATTCCGGTTTAATAGTACTTTGAGAAAGCTATTAACATTAAATAGCGAAACGTCAGTAAAAACAATATCGTTTTGTTTTTCATTCATTGGGAAATACAAAAAGCCTTTATTATAATCAAAAAATTATCATTGTTTGTAAACAACGGGTGAAATGCAATTGTATGGTTAGTTAATCTATGCCACAGTCCAAAAACGTTTCACTTTTTACCTAACTGATTTAAATTCAGTGTCAGATAAGAACTCTACTATGTGTGTGTTGCAAGCATATTTGAAAGGCAAGTAGCATGTAGAACAAATTTTAACTCCCAGTTAACGTGAAAAAATAAGATTGTTGGAATACTTGAAATGCTGAAATTTTAATGATTTTGTGAAAACGTTGCCTTATTGCTTAACTGAGCTGAAGCCAACATTCCATGACTCTGTGAATCATTCGCATATACTAGTGTGGTAACGTTCACCCCTTTACCAACCTCATCTTACTTCGGCTAATGTAGTTATCAGTCAATGGACATGTACGTGCGTATGTATCCCAGCCAACTCACTTGGAGAAATTTCATGATTTCAATCACTAACTTGTCTTCCTTACTTGTCATCTCTCTTGAATGTCAATATCATCCAACCTACTACTTGCATGCGGTGCCACTGAGGCACGTGTAATTGTAATCCGTGAATCTCCTTGTCATCCTTCATCTGCTAATAGCCAAGACAGTGCTGAACAGCATACAAGTCTAAATATCTACCTAACTTTATTTCTCAGGTTTGAAGAAGCAAGCTCAATCGAGGGTTGGGTTGTGCGTCGGTGGCATAGTGGTTAGGACTCTTGCCGACCATGTTCATGGTCCGAGGTTCAATCCCCTGCAGAAATCAAGCTGTAATCGAAAAATAAATAAATAGTTTGGCTATAAAAACCCCGATATTATCCGCTGACTTCAGGTTCGAATTGAAATAACACAAATGTTTAGATTGCTTTCATTAAATTATTACTATTCACTCTTTGTGCCCTGAGTGAAGTATAAGGTTTCTGTAGCACAAATATATTCATCCCTCTTGGTTCCACGCTATCACTTTCAGCTGGCTCGACGACCACCCACAATTCATCCCCATTCGATCATCTCCATGTCATCTTCAGTCACTCAACTGGTCACTTCATATTCGGATTTCATTTGAGTGTAAGAAAAGTGTGTGACTTCGTTGGTGGTCTATCTCCTCAGCGTATGTATGTCCCATTCATCTCCATTTTCTTCTGCATATTTTTTGGGTAAAATGGTTCTCTACAAAAATTCTCTGTTGCTTATTCACTCTGGCCTTTCAATCTTCAATATCAGGTGAAGGCAGCTGTTGAGGAATGAAATATAATGGGGACAAATTAGTTAAAACTGTACAGAAGAAAGGTTAATTGGGTGAAGACTAGTGACGATTAGTGAAATCTGGAAGAACACAAGGAGAAAATACATCTGCGCTTTTAAAAACGATTTTGAGCCACGTTACCAACCTTCGACTCTTTGCCTCCTAAGAACTCAGGTAGTCTAAATCTTCCTACCTAGTTAAACAGGGAGAATATCATTAAATGGAAGGAACAGGGAAGATTACCCTGTTAGAAGACTGAAGTCGAAAATCAAACCAACATGCAAAGATTCATGGATCAACATCATGTTTTACACTGCATTTGAACATAATTATCTTGAAGCATTTGAAGTAGCCTTACAACATGTCGGCTTTCATCAACCTCTTTTTAAACCACTAGACATAATGCACTTTAATCAGTATTTTGTATTATTTATGGACAGTTGGGAAAATATTGCTCTAAATACATTTAATCCTACTCCAAAAATATGGTGGAGATATGTGGATGACACTTTCACAGTATTAAAAACAGAACATATCTCTAGCTACTTGACACATATGAACTCACTAGTGAAGGGAATCAAATTCACATTTGAGTCGGAAAATGAACAAGGAGAATTAGCAATGTTAGATTGTAAAATGAAACGAATAGAAGAAGGTAAACTACACGTTAGCGTTTATTAAAACCAACGCATTCTAACAGATATTTAGACATTGATTCATCTGATCCGTTATCTGTAAAAACTGGCTAAGTGTCTAACAAACCCAGCAGTAGCACTAAGTAGTACAAAAAAAGAACTAAATAGTGAAACAAAACAGATAAAAGAAGGTGTTGGTGTCAAATAACTATCCCATAAAATTCACTAAGAACATCAAAATGGTCAAAAGCAAAGTAGAAATAACGGTAAAACTATTAATAATAACATAAATAAGAAAGAATATAATGCATCTACAGTTTTACCGTATAAGGAGGGGACATCTGAAACCAACCCCTACATAGGATTCCCAATAAAGCAGCAATTACAGTGGCATTTAAACCTACAAACTCGCTCAGGGACAAGCTCTGTAGTTTAAAGGACCCGGTGGATCCAGTTAAACAAATTAATACAATTTACAAAATACCTTGCAATGACTGTGAGTGAAGTCAACTACATGGGTCGAACTAGTAGATCAGGAGCAGTGAGATTATCAGAGCATAGGAATTTAGCTAATGTAAGAATGATTTATCCCACGAAGATAAGTAATTGAGAAAAAAACTCAGCAGCGATCACAGTACATGCATTAACACACAACCACACAATAGGGTGGGTGAGAGTTAAAATTCTTAAAAGTAGGTAGGTAGATGGAGAGAGAGAGATTGATTTCTGAATTCTAGTTCATTGAGTCTACATGCAACACATTCAATCGAAGTGATCAACGCAAACACCAGAGATATGGAAGATATTATCACCAGTCAAATCGGAGAAAAATAAATAATGTTGAAATTCTATTTTGATTCACATTCTAACATTCTAACAGGTTATTTATTTTTACTGTAAAAATCGTCTTATTTCCCCTCTGATTGTATTTGATTGATAACACTAATATTATTTCCGAATGTACATTATCGTGTATTGATTTTATTGAAATGTCTAATCCGTTTTACTCATGTATATAAATGAAGCAAAAAAGTTGTGTGACTAACTTGATATGACTATCAGCAACAGTTTGTGCTTGAAACGCCATCAGTTATTATTACTGTACAAAAAACGCTGTGTGATTTATCAAAATAAAAACTTATCCATAATGGAGAATATATTGCTTATCCATTGACATTTTGTCTACCTAATCATCAATTTATATTCCGTCAAATTATAAAACACATTACAATTTTTATTCGTCACTATCATATTATGAATATTACAGCGTGATAATCTAGTCTACATGTATTCTTTTTAAATTTGAACTTAAGGTCTTTGCGCTGAAGCTACACACGTCAGCATAGTCGACAGTTTAGATGCAGAAGGCCGTGAATGCTTCCATCCTTTCTCTCCATCCAGTATGCTTACAAAAGATCCCAAAGGTTATCCTGACTGGTTTTTGAAGTATAATTACCACAGAATAGATACAGTAAGTTGTCTCTCTGGTATGTGTAAATTATTTTCAGTATATGTTAGAATGACTACAGATGTGTTGTAGCTTCGTTTACTGTCACGTGACTTGACGACAACCAGGCATAGTTTCAACGTCATTAGCAGCGACAAGACTGTTTTTACTATAAGCTAATCAAATATATAAAAGCGTTGCATGATGGCACGGTTTCAAAAACATAGGTAGCGACAAGGTTATTTGCTATTACGTTGAATATTAACAACGTTATTGACTAAAGTAGCCATATTCTCAAGCCTTCATGTGGCTATGATTTATTTGATGTAAATTACTGTAATTTATCGTTATCACTGAATACCTTTGTGTGCGTCGGTGGCACAGCGATTAGGACGCTTGCCGACCATGCATATGGTCCAGGGTTCGATCCCCGGCAGACGCACTCCTTCACCTTGCTAAGCCAGAAATAATGCTGGTAAAGAGGAAAGGTTGGGCATGAGACTAGCAATCCCATCCTGTAAAATCAAACACTGCCACAAAAACTTCAAGCCACTAGCTTGAGGCCCTATGTTCTACTGGGAACGTGAAGGAAACAAAAATACTTTTGTACCGAGTCGTTTCACGAGCCTATTATTTGTGCAATAAAAGTGGAGATATTCTAGCTCGTCTTCATGATTCATCGCCTCACAGTGTACAACACTTTACAAAAATCATATATGTTACATTAACCTTAGCAATCAGAAAGGTATGTGCTTTAATCAAATTATCTGTATTATTTGAAACATAAACCATAAAGCAAAATATACGAAGTTAAATTAAAATATCTCAACCACCCGATTGCACTGAAAATGCAGTAAGAAAGTAATGAGTCAATGTTAGGTTGTTTAAGTAAATGTGCATTTAGATTTTGGGATTGTAAGGGTTTTCTCTAGTTTGGAACTCCAAAAACCTCACTGGATAAGCTCAGTGATTGCATTGGTTTGAGATGACTCTGTGTTGCGAATTGACAGAGGTTGAAGTTCAGGGGTCATAGGATTCCATCACAGTGGCTGGCCTGTTATTGGATTTCCCTCATGATCCGAAGACCTTGGGTACTATTCCTGAGGAAGATTTCAAACTATGATGAAACATTTGCCCAGCGCCCTTGAATAGAATTTTGTTTTTTACGGCTTAGATAGACTAATTTACAATGTCGAGCATGAGAGTACTACTTTAAGTTTCTATCTCTTCTCAACTCCTAAAAGTATAAGGCGATTGGAACAGACTAATGTTATAACGAATAAATAAAAGGTGTGAGAGAGGCGAAAATATTACAACTAAGATTTATGGGAATACTTAATTCAGCAAAAATCCTAAAGGGTAAGTTAACAAATCCGAGACAGTGTGATAGATTTTAGACTTGACTAACTATTAACAAGTCACAGACTTCAGTTAAGGTAACTGCACTTGCTTAAGTAGCACTTACCAACAAACGGGAAGTGGATAAATTTATGGCATACTTCAATCTGAAGCTTTCTCTTTTTGATAAGTTGGTGTTGATTGGCTTGAGTATTTCATGTTTCATTAATCTTTACTAATATTAACGACCTTTTTACATGTTTTTCTACTTCCACCTTTACAATACAGATATTATTCTCCACATCATATTTAATGGCCGACATTGAAACGTGATGCGGTAAATCAGAATGCAGTGTATTGCATCATTGTATCTGGTTCGCGTTCCATCTGACTTGGCTTTTATGAAATCCAATTCACTACACATATCTGTCACTGACTATTATGGTCAGTAGACTTGCCTTTCTATACAGTATACAGAAATTGTGTATAGGCAGTTCAGTGGTAGAATGCTCACCAGCCATGTATGTGCTCCAAGTTCGGTTCCTGATTGACACAGTCCCAAAACTCGCCTAGGAAGCAGTAAGGCCAGTTAAGAGGGAAGGTTGTTCGCGAGGCTAACGACTCTACACTATTAAAAAACACTGCCACTAATAAAACTTCCATGCTCAAGTTTGAAGCCCTGTTCTTCAATCAGGATGCAAAGGAATGCTTAAAAACGCAAACTACCGAAAAGAAGTTTACTAATCAGTGCATCATTTGAAGTTACTGTACTTGTTAAATGTCACACTAAAAAGATAGACACGTTATGGTAACTCACTTGTTCATAAGAGAAAATCGATGGAAAAAACCATAAGTGCTACTTAAGAAATCGGGTTTGTGTGATTTTTAGGTTACTCCGGAGTTGATTTTTTCACAAAACGAAGTTAGATGGAATACCAATCAAAGTCAAATGAGTGATAGACAACTGGAGTGTTGTGCACCGCCGATGGGTGGTAAACTTGGACAACACGACTTCTTCCAAGTCACTACTGCTTGACAGTAGTAGTTGTCAACCTTTTATCGAGTGAGATGTTTTCAGTGAGCAAACTATTACTATAGAGTTTACAGTGAGACTATATCTGGAGTAGATTTGGGTTGGCAAACTACTAATGATGTAATTTGTCGGACTAGTTAATCGAGGGAAATGGAAAAGGCAGAGTAGTTTAAGTGCTTAGAACCAATCTGGTTATTGGCCTCGGCTCCAAACAAGCGAAACAACTATCGGATGTTAAGATCGCCTCGATGAAGAAAGCACTGTTAAATTAAAAATATTTTATTTGACACGTTACTAGTGTTCAGTATGCGCTTACATCTTTGTTTGAAGAACAATTATCTCGTACTAATGGGTGTTGTACTTGTTTGATGCTTTTATATTTCAGAAACAGAAAAAGTTCAGTAACAAGTCTCCCGTGCTTTAATTTTAATAAATTAACTCACACTTTGTGTGGTTAACACTAGTTGTATCGATAAGAGAAACCATACGTTGGTCATCTTAAGTAAACCAAAGTCTATAGTTCATTGCATGAGGTAGCTTTAGGACACTGAAATATTAACGAAAATGCAAGTCACAGCATGAGTGAACATCGATAGAGTTTCAGTTCGAATCCGGTTATGACATTGACTTCTGTTACAATTTCAATCATTACTCTGCTATAACTGTAAGAAGATTGTGTCATTATAATAAGCCTTGATTACTGCATAAATTCCAGTATCTCACTATCCGATGTCAATTTTATAAAGAAATAAATCCATATTGAAATATGGATTGTGTTAAGTAATCCCATGTGTGTTTTTTCTGTCACTATTGTTTCCAGGGTTTCGACTGCTGCAGTGATTATGCGGTTTCTTTTCATTATATAACACCAGGAGAAATGTATCTCTTTGAATATATGCTCTACCATCTACATCCATATGGTATACATCGAGATTTTATGGATTTAATGAACTACTTACAGAAGAAAAGTATTTCTTAGCGTATACAATATGTATAAATAGACAACTAGCCTTCTTCTTTACCTGAGCTACATTTGTGTTACTTTACTGTTTAATATATTTCAATTTTATCACAGTACATATCATCAAATGAACTTAAATCACGTTCATGATCAGGGAATTTCTAAGCTGATCAAGGCCATGTCAGGGCGTGTTAAGCAGATTTCGGCCTAATATTTATTTGTTTTATTTTTCAAATTGTAACTGTGTATGTACTGCCTTCTATTTTTTTATTTATTTTTTTCTTATTGGTTCATTTTATGATATTGAGAAAAATTGTGTACAGACTACTCTGTCCCTGTGTACGTGTGTGTTTTATGTGAGGTGATTAGGGCCCAATTTCTATAAGGCATTAATGTAATGTCTCAGTAATGTATATTGGCCAATCCGACTTGTTTCTACGTGTTTTAATAGTATTTTTATTTGTACACACTGAATAAATCCAATGCCCTTTCCTACCTGTTCTGCAAATGAAAACAGACGTATCTGTGTTTATGTACAATTTATGGTGTGTATGTACATAATATAGATAATGTATAATTAAAGATGTTTTTTATGATGGTGTAAATGTTTTTACTCAGATCTTGACACTTACAAAGAAAAAATTACAATATTACGATTGTAGCAATTAGATTTGTTTTTAAAAAATGATCACAGATTGAAATAAGTTAGAGTAACATTGAAAGCTAGGGAGTACTTGACAGCTTCGATGTTTTCAATGTAGTTACTGTCCACGCCAGGTAAAATACATAGTCGCATCATCCTAGAGAGAATAAAGGATGAGCTGGATACAGAACTCCACTTATCAGAACAAGCTGGATTCAGGAAAGGCAAATTATTTGCTAATCAAATTGCATCTCCACACATCCTCATCACAGAACGAACCATAGAATAACTCAACATCATCGATATCGTAAAGGCCTTCGACAAACAGCGTTGACAGAGAAGTAATTTGGAAACAACTTCAACACTACAGCGTGCAGTGCACAAATATTTATTAACTCCATTCATCACCTATACGACAACGCCAGGAGACAGTCGGAAGATCCACAACGCAAAATAAACTCAGCCAGGAATTGTTTACATATTCAATCTCTTTCTTACCATCCCTTAATCTTATCACATCTTCATTAAAAACGTGTCTCATTTACTCCCCTTACAATCTATCACTACTGAATCGGTTCATTTGTTTTTACTAGCCTTTATCGACTACTTCCGCTTGAACATTTGCTTGTTTAATCATGCTGTTATTTCATCATTCTTGTTATCGCAGATTGCCTCACTTTTCATCCTTATTATTGATTAAACCCTTATTATTATTATAAGTCAGTAGAACAACTGGATCTCGTCTTTCCAACTCATGTCATTAATAGGTACAACATTTTCTTTTTCTTTCTCTCTTTTTCTTTTCTCTCTCGTTTTTTCTTGTTTGTGTGCTGCTTTGTTTCTTTCTTCCTTACAAACTCTATTTAAAACATTCTTCTTCTTTCTTTCACACTCTGTATATCTCGACTTTTTGTTACCGCTTACGCCAGTAAATATCCTAGTATCTACTTTCCTAACACCTTCAAAAACTGTTCAGTTCTTGGTTTTGCTACCGACATGCCAATATGTTGTTGTGATAACTAACTGAGATTACCTTTAGTCTATGGAGAACTTTATTTATTGTTAATGCACTAACTGGATGCAATACTGTAGTAAAATGCTGAGAATTCCATTCTGTATCACAACCACTGTAGTGAAATAAAGCAAATTATCATTATCATTACTACTCTTCTGCCTAATTGCACAATTTATATTCACCATCTTATTATCCTATAGACAAAACACCATGACTGGTTTATATTTGTATTTTGTTTGTAAAATTATATATATATTAGAGTTAAGCCTGATGAGATCTAATTGAAATTTTACTATAGGAATATTTAATCTACTGAAATTTCGTGAGGATCCTATTGTATTTAAGGCACTCAGTGAATACCTAAGTTTAGTGCAAGGCTCGCTGAAGCAAAAATATCGTTGGGATTTTTCAAAGAATGTGTAGAAAACGAACGTTATCCGAAAATATATTGGAGGTCGTTAAGACGAATGAGGATTTATCCTAATCCTAAGAGTTTAAAAAGACATGCATTTGATCAGATTGATTCTGATCTATAAAGGAACCTATCACAAAGACAATTTGCAGTTGATGATTTACCTCGGGAATTACAATTGATGTTTATTGAATATGTTAATAAAGTAACAGTAAACAGAAGTAATAATAGAAGGATAAGTCTTGTCAGATCTCTCGAAAGACAAAAACCGGGCTGGCATGTTCACAATTTTTCCAGTGTCGTGGTTAATAAGTTTCAATTAGACGCGTTATTCCTAGGTCCCAAATTTAGTGATTATGCTCCTAAAGTTAACCAACTAGACACTGATATACAGTTTGAAAATTTGTTTTCTCAAACGTCATACCTTACCCCATCATCGGACGATGAACTAACTAGGTTCGAAACGAAGCTAGTTGACAGCAGCCAGCGATACAAAAATAACAGACATTCAGTAAATAGTCTGTCATCGAAGCAACACAGATAAGCGCTAAGAGAATTTAGAAGGAACGAAAGCTTAATTATTAGCAAGCCAGATAAAGGTGACGGTATAGTCTTACTGGATAAAAGCGATTATGTTGAGAAAATGGAAGGTATTTTGAGTGATCAAACTAAATTCCAATCTCTTGGTGTTTCCAAAGACCTCAATGTAAGAGCGGAGAAACTAATGACCGACTCTCTCAAAAAGCTGAACCGAATAGGTATATTGTCATCAGCCACGTATGAGTCCATGAAACCAACAGGTACCAATACTCTACGTCTTTAGGGTCTACCGAAAGTGCACAAACCGGGTCTTCCTCTTCGCCCTGTTTTAGATATGTATAACTCTCCATTTCACGGAACAGCTAAGCGGTTACTTAATATTCTGGGTCCTTTGGACAGAGAAATTGTGCAACATAGAATTAGTGATGTGTTCAACTTTATTTCAAAAATATCGGAGACTAATCTGAGGTATAAACGCATGTTATCCATGGATGTATCATCACTATTCACTAATGTACCGCTTATGGAGACAGTAGATTACATTTGCCAAGAAATCACCGAAAGACAATTGGACTTAGGAATCTCCTTGTGTAGCCTCAAAGAAATGCTTCTCAAATGCACAATGAATGTTCACTTTGTGTTCAATAATTCTTACTACCGACAAGTAGGTGGAATAGCTATGGGTTCACCATTGGGCCAAATGTTCGCTGACTTCTTTCTCGCAAAACTTAAAAACGGGAAATTGAAGGATATCATCAAGGAGTTTGATATGTATTACCAATATGTTTATGATACATTTATCTTAGCTGATGGGAATGTTAACATGGACGAATTGTTGCTGAAAGTCAACAGCGTCCACCCTTCACTTTCTTTTACTTGTAAAGAGGAACAAGAGAATGAACTGCATTTTCTGGATGTCCTACTAAGTAGGCGAGAAGATGGGTCACTTGGGAGAAGCGTGTATAGAAAAAGCCCATTCACAGGGTAATACACACAGTTCCATAGTTACGTGGCCATTAAATATAAAAGAAATGTTGTTAAAGGTCTTACGAGCAGAGCAAGAAAGATATGTACCGATGACTTCTTACGAAAGGAATTTGAATATATTCACTACTCCTTGATGGAAATGGGCTATCCGAGTAGTTTTATAAAGAAACATACAAAAACATCAAAGAGAAAACCTGATACTCTGACTGCACGAAAAAAGCCTCTATTTATTAAGGTACAACTTAATGATGACTTATCTAGTGAGACTTTGTTTCAGAGACTATCCAGGAGTATACGGAGAACGTTTTGCGCAGCATATCTATGTTTGTCATTCTCTAGCTGACGAATGAATAGGACGCAAACTAAGGATAAGCTGAATAGTTTTGCCACATCTATATGTATTTATCAATTCAACTGCACCTGCGGTGACAGTTATATTGGGCATACTACTAGACAGCTTAGCCAACGTGTTAGTGAACATCTCCCATCGTGGTTTGGCAAAGGACAGACGAAAACAATCCGTAGCTCAATTTTGTCACATTTAATTGATAGTAGTCATGTAGTGGAGAAAACGAAAGCTTTCAAAGGAATTCATCGTATCCCACCGAATATTTCAAATAGACTTCGTATTCGTCTACTGCACACAGCTGAGGCGATAGGCATTCGAACTACTAAACCTAAACTATGCATTCAAAAGAAGTTCGTACAGCCATTATCCACCGCCCTTGGCCTATTAAGACATAAACAGCTAATGACTTCTACACCACCCCTTGTTTATATTTTCAATCTCTTTCTTACCATCCCTTAATCTTATCACATCTTCATTAAAAACGTGTCTCATTTACTCCCCTTACAATCTATCACTACTGAATCGGTTCATTTGTTTTTACTAGCCTTTATCGACTACTTCCGCTTGAACATTTGCTTGTTTAATCATGCTGTTATTTCATCATTCTTGTTATCACAGATTGCCTCACTTTTCATCCTTATTATTGATTAAACCCTTATTATTATTATAAGTCAGTAGAACAACTGGATCTCGTCTTTCCAACTCATGTCATTAATAGGTACAACATTTTCTTTTTCTTTCTCTCTTTTTCTTTTCTCTCTCGTTTTTTCTTGTTTGTGTGCTGCTTTGTTTCTTTCTTCCTTACAAACTCTATTTAAAACATTCTTCTTCTTTCTTTCACACTCTGTATATCTCGACTTTTTGTTACCGCTTACGCCAGTAAATATCCTAGTATCTACTTTCCTAACACCTTCAAAAACTGTTCAGTTCTTGGTTTTGCTACCGACATGCCAATATGTTGTTGTGATAACTAACTGAGATTACCTTTAGTCTATGGAGAACTTTATTTATTGTTAATGCACTAACTGGATGCAATACTGTAGTAAAATGCTGAGAATTCCATTCTGTATCACAACCACTGTAGTGAAATAAAGCAAATTATCATTATCATTACTACTCTTCTGCCTAATTGCACAATTTATATTCACCATCTTATTATCCTATAGACAAAACACCATGACTGGTTTATATTTGTATTTTGTTTGTAAAATTATATATATATTAATGTTAGGCCTGATGAGATGTAATTGATTGAGTAGAGAGTTTCCAACGGAATTGTCAAGCATTTGAATATCGTACGTCATGTGATAGTTATTTAGCAATCAAAGAACAGTGTGCTAAATTTGCAAGCTGATGGTCCCTAAGTTTAACTGCTAGCAGTAGTGTTTCAGATTATTAGAAACAAAAGTTTGTTCACTCCATTTATCATTTCAATGTTTCGCCAGCCAACCATAGTCTATTTATGATCAAATCTGCTTTGAAATCTACCAAATTCTTATGAACCTAATTCATCTAAATAAGTATATTGTGATGTGTTTTTGATCTGGCTGGGATTTTCCTCAGCTAGATGGTTCAACTGAGAAGCTTTTATTCTTCATCTAGACACCTTCAGTGTTTGCTTCACAGAGCACACGGGCACAACAAAAGTTGCAGCTGAGTTATAAATCTTCTCCACTACTATGGAGTATTCTGCAGAGAATTAATGTGACCTAGAATGTAATTCAGTCGAATTCAGTAATTCGATGAAAACAAATTGGAATTCCAATGTTAAATAAATTTATTTGTTCGTTTTTAAGTAAATTTATGGATACTACTACTTTGTATTGAGGTGTATGCAGGCAATTACACTATAATAGTGCATACTAAGATAAGTGGATTGACAGATACATGTAAACGAAGAAACAAGCTGATAGAACAACGATTAACATAAAGAGACATAAACACACAGACAAAGAAAATAACAATAAAGTGCATTCCTTTCACAATCAAGCACTGAAAAGCAGGATTAAAAAAGGGGCGAAAATTTCGTGGTTCGAGAAAATGAACTTGTAAATATTTAGACAATACACTTGTTCATATAGAGAGAAGTATATTACTGGAATTCATGCTGTCTTTGCTTATTTTTGTATGATTTTCTTCATAAATCTTTTTCTTTCTCTCTGTCTCTCTGCAACCCACTTTTCATAATAATGTTCTCTGACATTCACCTATGAGTGAATGGTCCGTTTTATACATATTTGGCGCTGCATGAACTAAAGCTGTCCCAGGATCTTTAAAAGGAGAAGAAAAGACAACAAACCGAAAATAATTGTAGTAATAATAACGTGCCAACCAACAGTAGCAAACAATTCTCTTTCAATCACCGCGGCAACATAGTTTCAACCAAAAGTGACATGGATGGTAATGTTGCAGTCGGGGCCAGGAAAGAAAGACAGGTGTTCAGTTTACTCTAAATTTCTGTCTGGTATAAAGATCTTAAGTATTTAGTACATGGAACAGAATCAGAATTTATATACTAATATTAAATCGGTGATCCTATATGTTTCATGGACTTAGGGCGTCTCTGAAAGCGTTTACAGCAGGCTGCAGACTTTCATCAACAGCTGCCATTGCTCA